AAAAAAAAATAACCTCAAAACTTTCTCATGGAATTTGTTCAGGTCCCAAACAATAACATGATTCTACGGTGCTGTCCTGAGCTGCATCAGCAGGGGAAACCAAGACACCTCCTCAGCTGTCTGTGGACCTCAAGAGGGTTTGTTCTCATGGATGCACATGAGTCTGAATGTTCACCAGGGTTTCCCACAGTTCTCTCAATCCACTCGTGGGTGGTGTAGTAAACAAAATCACCACAGACACTAGGACCATTGATCTAGAACCTACCATGTGCACATTGCTTATCACTAACCTGTATAGTAGCCATGACGCAGGCGTCGCCATCCCCATTTAACAGAAGAAAAGAATGAGTGCCCAAAGGTTCAGGGTGAGGAGGCAAGCTGAGGCTAAACTGGGGTTGGCTGACTCTGTAGCTGAAGTTCTTTCCACTTCTTTGGTGCCTTCTGAAACTACCTGGTGGCTGATCTGACTGACTCTTCAATAGACTTTGTGTCTATTGTTCAGACAGACACATAGTTTGATTTGCCTTCTAGATTTTTTTTTCTTAACATTTTCCCTTCCAGATTATAAGAACAATAAACACTCATTGGAGAAAATAGAAACATGTAGAAGCATTATACCTACAATTTTTCGGTTAGGTTGCCAAGGTGAAATTTCATTGTCCTCATTTCAAAAGGAGTGCTCACTTTCTCTCTCTCTCTCTCTCTCTCTCTCTCTCTCTTTCTCTCTCTCTCCCCCCGCCCCCCATCTCTCCCCCTTCCTCTTTCTCTTTTTGTCCCAGTGATTGAACTCAGGGGCATTTGACCACTGAGCCATATCCCAGACCTACTTTTTATTTTATTTAGAGACAGGGTCTCACTGAGTTGCTTACCGACTCACCGTTGCTGAGGCTGGCTTTGAACTTGTGATCCTCCTGCTTCAAACTCCTGAGCCACTGGGATTACAGGTGTGGAGCACCACACAGGGCCGTGCTTTTCATTTCATTGGCTTGGTGTTCATTCATTCTGCTGTTTAGTTCATCTCTTGAGTTTTTTAACCCATTTATAGCAGAATCTTTAAAAAATATTTTATTATACATGAACACAATATCTTTATTTATTTATTCAGTTTTATTCAGGGCAGAAGAGCATGGCGAGGAAGGCAGCTCTGGAGATGGTGACCAAGAAGCAGAGAAAGTGAGGGGGGAGCCAGGAGAATAAGATATAATCCCCCATGATTTACTCTCCACCTGCCCACAGTTACCACCCAGAAGTCCATTCAAATTAGGACAGACTGATTAGATTACATCTCATAATCTGATCATTTTACCTCTGAATATTAGCACAGGAGTTTTTTTGGGGGGCAACTCATATCCAAATCAAAACACAATTCATGTTCTTCCTATTTTCAATTCCAAGGATGTCTCAGTACTAAACACTTTGGCCGATATGATTGAAGAGGGTGTGTGGCTGAGATCTATTGTATTTTACAGTTCCCTGGATAGTAAGTGTGATAAGCACTTTGTCATGTTTATTGGCAGGTCTGTATCTCTATTTTCTCTTCTCTGATATCTATTGAAATGCTTTTGCTCATTTTTTACTTATTCATTATCACAGTTTCAGTGGCTCTTTCAATAGCAGGGTTGATAACAAACGTATCAAAAGTGAAAAGTTGTTTATTAGGTTGTAATTGAAATTATTGGCACCATACATTAATAAACTTGATTTGACTTGCCAAATTGAGCAAGTTTCTGTTTTCTTGTCTCCTTAGTGATCCCAAATTTATCTCTGTATAGTGAATGTTTGTGTTCATGATGCTTCTTCACATTTTAGGAGCCCTTGACCCTCAAGGATGTGGCTGTGGTCTTCACTGAGGAGGAGCTGGGGCTGTTGGACTCTGCCCAGAGGAAGCTGTACCAAGATGTGATGCTGGAGAACTTCAGGAACCTGGTGTCTGTGGGTGAGGGGAACTTCTGTGGGTAATTGACACTGAGTTTATTGCTGTGTTCTTATTCCCCGGAAAGAAGATGTTTATGGTCTTTAAATCCTTTTTAAAATAAAACTTAGTTTGGGCCTGTAACAAACTACTGTGAGACTGGGTGACTTATAAACAATAGACACTTACTGCTCACAGTTCCAGAGTCTGGAGTCTGGGATCAGGATGCCTGGTTCGGCTTTGGGTGAGGGTCCTCTTCCATGTTGCAAAGTGCCAGGTCCTCATAGTATTTCACATGACAAAAAGGGGTAAGGGAGTTTTCTGGATCTTTCTGAGGGCACTTAGTTCTCTTTATGAAGGTTCCACCTTTACACCCTTATGACCCAGTTACCTCCCCCAAGCTCACCTCCTAATACCATCCCACTGGGGTTTAGGATTTCAGTGTGAGCTTTAGAAGGACAAAGACATTTAGTCCACTGCACTGTTACAAAGCAGTTTAAAAATTTTTTTTTTTTTGTAGTTATAGATGGACAGCATGCCTTTATTTTATTTATTTTTTATGTGGTGCTGAGGCCTGAACCTAGTTCCTCACACGTGCAAGGCAAGCACTCTGCCACTGAGCTACAGCCCCAGCCCCATAAAACAGTTTTCTTTGGCCAGTCCAGTCCTGAATATTTCCCTTGTTTACCCTTCAGAGGCCTGAAGGTCATGGGATTAGGATTGCATTTTCAGATTATTGTTTTCTTCGCCAAAAGCCTTACATCTTTTCAGTGCAACAACCTTTAAATCTGAGAAATTATCACGTGTGAACAAGACAGGGAGACCTGGGCAATGGATAGAGAGACTCCAAGAGATGCATATTTAGGTGAGAACAAGAAGCCTAGAGCTCTTGGAGATAGCATGCTGGCTAGGCTGTGGGTGGGCAAGCAGGTGATGGCCCTATGGCTTCACTTATCCTACTCACTTCCTCTCCTCAGGGAATGGCAGCTCAGAGTGGATCAACAATCTCTGGACTTTCTTGACTCTGATAGAAACAGCCAGTCATTATAAGGCAAGTCAGAGGCAGAAAGACCATTATAAAATATTGAGAGTTCTCTGATGTATTTCTCATTTGATTCTAGTACTCTACAAGTCCCTGGTTATAAAATTCTTGTTACCTGAACCTTAAAAGATTTTTAAAAAATAATGTCAGAAAACATGGGCAAATTTTTAAAATCACCTAGGACTGTTTGGTAAATATGACAGTCAGATAGCTCACATGCAATAACAGGCACATGTTGAGTATTTTGTGTCTTTGTGCCCTGATGGTACTGTGTGGAGTCCTTATTAGCCTACTCAGAGGGTGTGTGGCTGGTGCACTTTGCAAGATTTAGTGCTTTGTTCCCTCCCCAGTTTCACTCACATGACCAAATTTAGAGTTACCCCCAGGAGGCAGTGTAGGGAGAACCCCTAGGGAGGCTCTGAAGCCATACTTCCAGTGCCATCTCCATCACTTCCCCAAACTATGGTGGAGTCATGTGCTAGGCTATGAACCCTTTCTTTGCTGGGTGTTGGCTTCCTCATCTGTAAAAGCAAGATCATATGGGTTCCTAGTTTGTGTTCTTGGGAGGATTCAGTAAGTCAATGCATAATGATGAGGAAGTTTTTCAGCTAACACCTTAAATGCAATAGAAATTTAACTAGGTGTCCTGCAATTAGGCAATATATTTTTAAAGGTGTTTTTAGTTGTTAATGGACCTTTATTTAATTTATTTATTTATATGTGGTGCTGAGAATCAAACCCAGTGCCTCACACATAGGCAAGCGCTCTACCACTGAGCCATAACCCCAGCCCCAGTCAATAAAATTTATTGAATAAAACTAACACTGAAGCAAGCAACAACTTATAGGAGACCAACAGTGTTGACTGTCAAAAGCAAATTGATCCAGGCTTCTCAGTACTGAATGATAATGGGTTTTTAGAGGACACTTTTTTATGTTAGTGTCCTTTCAAAATTGTGATTTACTTCAGGGTTATTTGAATATGGATTGGAATAAACTATGTATTTTTCAATAAATGGGAATTTAAGTTGGATACAGATTAGATAAAACCAAGGTTTTAATTTGGTTTCAAGGTAATGAGGGTTTTATGTTTAGGTAGGAAAATAATTGGGAATTTTTGTTTGTTTGTTTTTGTAGTACTGGGGACTGAACCTAAAGACATATCTCTGGCCCTTCTTTTTTTTTTTAAACACATACAAATTTTATTAAATAAACTTTAGAATCAGAATTAAATTGATAAATGAAGTCATTTGTTGTAAAAGTGTTGTTTTTACATCCATCTTGGAGAAATATTATTTCAAACTAAAAAAGTAGAAGCATATCATTTGCCAGTATTTTAAAAAAGAATGTTAATATACAAATTAGTTTTAAAGTTCTTGAAAAGTAAGGAGAAAGCAAATAATTCATTTTTCTCCATTTTGTACTATTACTACAACAACCTTTAAAGACACAATATTAGTGAATTTTGGACAATAAAATCTACAAAGCCAGACTGCTGGCAGAGGAAACAACAAACTGTAAGTTAAAAGATTCATAAACAAGCATTTATTCAGGAAATACAATTACTAGAGTCCTTGATATTTCAATGATCATTCCACATTATAAAATATTCACAACACATATTCTTTTAAGTCTACACCAAGTCATGCTGACATTCTTTCGAGATAAACCATAACTGTTTCTTCTACTAAATGCTATAATATCTATTTTAGTTGTAAACAAAGTACTTGAGTCAAACTACTTAGTACTTGAATAAGAAAAAATTAAAAATAAAAAACCTAAAAATTTAGAAGAGGAGGAAAATGATAAAACAAACAAACAAACCCCACTCCACATATCCGAAACAGCAAACTTTTAATGAGCCCACTGTAATCTAGTATTACAGTAAAGGATAAAGTGACCATATTAAAACAGCATGTAATTATCAATGACATTACTTCTCATCTGTAATTTTTAAGTATGCATTTTCAAATAATAAACACTATTTTTGTAAGTTTTAAAGGCAAATGGGGAAGAAAGATAAAATATTAAAAGTTAAACTACTAGACTTTTTTTTTT